TGAATGATTTCATTTTGAAGCAGGTAATTGCAGAGAAAGTGATGACTTTAATCAGTATTTAATTCTCTCGAGCAGGGATGGGCAAAACGGCGGCCTGATACTGTCCACTAGACTCCTAGTTACGTCGCGAGCTGCGTACATGATTTCAAATACTGCAAAATAATCTGTGACGCGTTTGTGTGTATTGTGTTTGTTTCTCGGGGAAACACTCACAAGAAACACTGGCTGTTGTTATGCCTGCTGTGACGTTAGGTTGCCTCTTGTAATGATGCTTTTACAAGCTTAAAAGTTGGATTTATCATCTGAATTTGGCGAAACAAGTTTAATATTCTAAAAACCAAGACTTTGTTATTTGAAATCAGATGAAAACCCTGCACTAGAGGAAAGGAAAACCCCCTAAAACCCCCCTTTCAGCTTTACCCATCAGGGCCCCACACGTGTAGCCCTCCTTGGCTGAACCTTTAGTCCACATGGGTACTGTGGGTATGGACATAAAAGGAGCCCATGTGGGACGTGAGGTTTATTGCTCCAATGAGCACCATCTGTAGCCCACCCTGATCCCAGTGGAGGCTCGCAGGAGGAGACATGTGTGGACGAACAGACAACCATTAACCTCTTTGGGGATCACATTGATATAATGGATATTAAGTTTAATAGATAATACATATTCATTATATATATTAATCAAACAACGATGGGAATCTAATTCAGAGTCAAAATCAATTTAAAATAAGCAATTGATTAAGCATGATAATCAAAAACACATAGTTACAGATAAAAGAAGAGACAACAAAGACAGAAGCAAAATTCAAGCATATGAAAGTCACATTTCAATACAGAAACTTTAGTCAGTTTCGTAACCAGATCAATTAAAATGCATTCACAACTAACATTATCTTTAAATTATTATTCAAACTTTGAATTTAAAAGCATTTAACAAGTGACATGTGTTCAGTGTTGAAGTCCAATATATTCCAAGCCCTAAGGTGCAGAAAACACAATGCCCTTTTTCCAATTTCTAAAGAAAGCATAAATAATATTGTGAGAAATCTTTGAAAACCGTATAACAATCCTCTGCTGGTCTGACTCAAAGCATTTTTGATCTATTTCATCCTAGATCTACGAGGCAGCAACAATGCCAGGTAAGTTTCTTAATTATTCGTGTACAAAAGTTATGTTTGAATTGATGAGAATTATCAGTAATTTACCATCCCTTCTGCTGAGCTGATCTCTGCTGTCTGATTTGTGCGTCTATCCTTCCAGATTTTGATCCCCTCCCTCACATTCCTGTGGTGGAGATGGAGTCAGAGGATGAAGAAGAGCCTGAGCCTCCTCAATTTCCTCCTAAGTGAGTACACACCACTTCTTGCTACACATTAACAGTGATTATACCGTCATATTTACACGTTAAACATGCACACATCAGTACAGGTAGAGAAGAGAACTGTAAACGTGTAAGGAGTTGACCTTTGTCTTTTTTTCTTGCTGCAGCGTTGTGAACTGGATAAAGCAAATGGTCCCTCAACCCCTTATACTGCCCCCTGGTGCCGTACCCTTAGAACCATCAACCAAGTCCTCCCGCTCTTCTCTGGACAAAAGTACATGCACACATACAACACAAACATTTAAATACACACCAGTTGACACATGTACCCACAGCGCAAACCTCCAAACACTGGCATGGACAGTCATAGCTTTCAACTTACTTTAGTAAAACATTCAAACTTTAAAGGGATAGTTTGGATTTGTAAGGCACTTATCCACATCGTTATCTACAGTACATGGCAGTTGGAAAAACAGAGACTACTGACACCAAAGCAAAGCAATGTAGTGCTGTGGAGGGGAGCAGCAGCAAAGGGTACTTTAGCCACTTAAAAGATGTCTTACACTATATTTAGAATGATTTCACCCTTGCCGTCAGACAGCCTTTCAGACGGTGAACTGAAAGTTGTTATCTAATCTATCTTCAAAGCGCAAGACAAAAACAGTCATTTTAGCCTGTTGAAAATGGAAGTATCTGGTCTACCCCTGGTCTTTAAGGTTAGTTTGGATTCACCCAAGTCAGATTATGACAGAAACAAACGAACATATCAAGACAAAAGCAGACCAACAACTTCTGTGTTCTGCCATATTAAATGACTGTTTTTATCAGTAGCAACCTTAAAAAGAGCAAAGAAGATAGCTTTAGTTCCTCATGTGTGTCTGACTACAAGGTTCACTTAAATTGAGGTTGATTTCTATACGTGTTTAAAATATGTTTAGCTACTGCCCCCATTTACAGCAGCAGATTGATAGCTTCAGTGCAGTAACTCCTGTCTGTTTCTCAAAACTATGGTCATGCAGATCTCCATTTACTTTTAAATCCAAATACACTTAGGACATATTCTGACTTTATTGGATGGATACTTGTTTTTGTATACTGAACTTCATGTCTTTCTCTTCTTACCAGTCTTGTCTCCACCACCTGAGTCTCTCAGTGGAATCTCATTGGATGCTGATGGCAAGGCCCCAAGGTACGTTTTGATCCCCCACTGTCCTTTATGATCACTCTTTTTTCAAATGACAACATTAAAAATACAATTAACAATCTCCAAGGGAATATTTTAATCAATATTAAATGCATGACTGAGATTTCTACGCAAACAAATCTTACTGATGTTTTCCTTTTAATGACCTATTATAATGAAAGAGACTGTAAAGTTGCAGTACAGTAAAATGTGTGTCTAAAGTGCACACAGTTCATTAGTTTGTCTCTCCACAGTATGGTTGGCTGGTTCATGGCAGGCCTGGGCCTGAAGATCCCTCAGCCTGCCGTTCAAACCAAAGATGATGCTCAGGTAATTCTTTTAATATCAAACAAAATAACAGTTCTTTCTTCCTTCTCTTCTTCTGATTTTTCAGCATGTTAATCTTTCTATAAATGTTTTTGTGTTGCTTTCTCAGGCTGTAGCTGAAGTTTTAAAGAAAGGTAAGTTTAAGTTTTCTTCACTACTCCTGTGTTTGCCCGCATGCCACAATTCACAGTTCAATGAAGTGGATCTCTAAATAACATCATATATTCCAGAAAGCGTGTTAAGTAACTGGAGAATAATAACACACATCTCTTTAATAACATGGGGTGGTGTTTTACTGAAGGCTTCGGAATATAATTATTTCTCCATTTTGAGTAACTCTTCAGCACCTTTGATAATATTTGGAAAGTATTTTCTGTTGAAGCACCGTCTTGTTTTTCCCCCCATAGTTTTTGAAGAGGTGTTTTGGTCGGACGATCGGAGCTTAACTCAGTCCCTCTTCTCCTTCTGTTTCAGGGGGGAAGGTGCTCCGAGCCCCTTAAACAGCAGGAGGAGACGACTGGGGGACGCTCTGATCAACACACACACACATAGAGATACACACATGCAGACGCACACAAGCAGACATATTGTACTGTTGGGAGAGGGGGGAGCTACAGGTGCTTTGCAACGTGCAGCTCTGAAACCGGCAGCTGTAAAATACTACAAGAATATAAAGATATGTTCAACTCACCTTACTGTACTAGATACAGTTTCATATGAATGTATTCCAACATAATATGTGTGCACTGTTCTATAACTTAAAGGTGTTCTATATATTCTATAGCTTATACGATAAGCTTTTGTCTTAGGGCTTTTAGATGATACATTTGCACATTTTCTGTGTGACACAGAAACATTTAGCCATTTATTTGAAACAACTGCAAGTTTCATTCACAACATTTTGCAGAAAGAACATTTGTATGCGATTTTACTGTGCTTTAACCTATGGCAATTTACACTTTATATTCATGTTGCCATTTTCACATCCATCAAAAGAACAATAGCAGTTTAAAATAATGTTGTCCTGGTCATTAACTTAAGAGGATTTCAGCATCAAATGTCCAGTCTTCATTTCCCAATTCACAGTAATCTTGAAATAATTAAATGGCAGCTATGTTTATTAATGCTTGTGTTATTTGTGGGCAAAGTATAAACTCTATCTGTATTTATACTGATGATAGGATGTTTAGATGAAATCTAATAATACTTTAACTTAATTATATCCTACCCCATAAGAATCTGTTAATTATTGTACTCTTCAGTTTGGGTCTTGATCATGTAACAGTTTGAGTTAGCTTCCATTAAGGTCGCACAACACAAATGTAAGAGTAGGCCTATTTTGATCCACTTGATCAATTTATACAGTCTTGAACTGTGAAATTTGGCCTCGGGATGTGGTGTTGTTTCAGAAGATTTTACGTTATGAAATAAATGTTCACTGTCATGGAGAGAAGTAGAAGAACACATTCATGTAATTACACACTGTACTGTAAGGATATACATGTACTGCAGGAGTAATAAAGATTCAATGTGAAATGTATTTGGTGGTCTTATCAATAACACCTTCCATTATCTCCATGCATTCTCTACACATAAAGATAAATTATATCTGAATAAGCTGCATTGCAAACCCTAAACCAAATCTCCAACATGAACCACAAATCAACGCTTGTCACCTTCCCGTAGCTTCATCCAAACTCAGGCCTGACATGGTACTAGAAGACGTGGACTCAGACAACGAGGGGCCGCAGAAACGTAAAGATCCGGCCACAGTCGCAGCCCCTAACCCATCAGTGACTACATCATCAACAAACACACAGCAGACACAGTCCAAGCCCGAGTCTGATCCAGCACCTTCAGACAGCGGGACAAAATCTCAAGAAGATGCTGAGACCCAGACGGGCCGCTGGACGCCGTTCATTGAAAACATCAAGAAGGAGGCCGAAGGTGTAGCTATGGCAAGCATGGAGGAACGGTAAGAGGGGTGGAGAACAAGAGGGTGGGGGTGGGCAGAGATTAAGTCTTTCATTATTTTTAAGTCAGATCCACAGGGTGCAAATGCCCCCTATCGTATCAAATAATAACAAATAATTGGAAGTAAGTTAACCCTTGTGAATCTATTTAAAAAAAGTTACTCTGATGTCCTCAAAGGTCAAAGTTATTTTTGTCATTCAAAAATAATAATATCAATTATTACAATAATTATATACACCACGAATAACTTAAGTAAAGTCCACAAAAATAGACAAAGTGTAGAGAGAAGACTCTACGTTACTGACATTTACATGCGGCCTGTGTTCAGTCTGCTGCAGGAGCGCTCAGAGATGGTGCTTATAGCTGAGGAGGTGGCAAGGACCACAGCTGAGAATGCCATTAGACAGATGGCCAATGAGTCCATCAAACTCTCCCTGGGGAGTCAAGACCTCCTGGATCAGGAGGACGAGGAGCCTGATGCTGAGTAAGAAGCTGTGCTCATTAGAGATTGGTGTGTTTTTTAATTTTGGCAATCATTGTGGGAAGTGATGTAACACTGCATGTTCACTGTGACCAGGTTGCAAGATCCACAAGAAGAGGAGAACGAAGTGGACCATCAAGGAACACAGTAAGAATTGAAATATGCAGTCTTCTCTGTCCTCAACCTCCTAGAAATCCCTTGTGTGATGAAACATGAACGAGAGAACTCAGTGCATTTAGATCCTTGACTGAGGGAAAGTAGCAACACCATAATGTAAAATATACTTAGTAGAACAACTGCGTCTGCATTCATTTGTAATTGTATGATATTACAGCCACATGGCATCTTTCAGAGCATAATTGAATCATTATTATGTTTGTATTTAATATGGTATAATATAAGCAGCATTTTAAAGTTGCATCGGGGACAAAGCTGATTTACATTTCCTTATACAAGCTTCTATGGGGTATGTTTTTCTCAAACGTGTGCGATGTGCAAAGTAACTAGGTTTCAAATATCAGATAAACAGGGCAACGTCCAAAATTGCCTTCCAAAGGTAGTTAATTAGAAGCATAAGTTAGCGTGATATGGAAAAAGTGCAGAAGCACAACAGGCCTACCTGCGCACTACAATAATAACGGTGATTTAGCTGTCGGTCTCAAATCCCATGGGTTCTCGTTATCTGATCTTTGCCGCGCGCTACCTCAGCATCACACTACCGTGCCATAGCAACCCCGGCTTCGCTTGGCAACACTCTTACCCCCCCCCCCAATCCCCTCTCAACGGTTCCCCCGGTAACAGTGTGCACCTGCTGCTGCGGTTTCACGTCTGGAGACGCAGGAAAATGATGGACGGAGATGTAATGGAAGATTTCTCATGTTGTTTTTCTAAAATCAGATAGTCTTGCTCGTGCTTTCGTTTCTCGTTGTTCCAGGACATTTATTTCGGCACTGTTATCGAATACCGCATGTGATAATTGACAGAGAAAGTGAGTATCTCGCGCTAACGTCGTTTTATGTAACACATTTGATAAGTTTGACCTATTATTTACCCTAATATAATTACTATCTTGGTTTAAAAAGACAATTAGCGCTTACATGCTTGTCTGTCAGGCTAACAACAGTAAACACTAACCACTGGCTAACATTGAGTAAAGTTAAAGCCTCCACATTTTTAAGTATTAATGAAAAAGTGGGCCAGTCTATGTAGATCATGTATTTGTGTTTTAATGGTTTCCGTTTTAACAATTATTTAGTTAATTATAGGAAAAAAGAGAATACAATTTAATTAATAAGCAGTAACATTATTATATAGCCTAACCATATAACCATCCTAATGTTAAAAAACGTCTGTGGACCTGGTTATGTGGACATGTTATCTAAATGTGTTACATATGTCTGCTGCATACTTCAATGTATTTTAAACTGGCCCAAATTCAGCCAGACGAATAGACGTAAGTTCTATCAACAAGTGTTAGTACTTTGGGGAATTTCGGTCTGTGTCAGGCCCGGTTCCAGAACAAAATGACCTAACACCCTCTAGGGGGGGTCACCTCCACTAGGGGAGTCCAGGGGCATGCTCCCCCGGGAAGATTTTTTAAATATTGAAGTTAAAACCATCAATCTGGTGCACTTTGAGAGCAACATGAAGAGATCTATGTGCTCTTTGCTTGATTCATACCTTCCCAGTCCCTTATCACGTAGCCTATAAGAGCATGGCGCCAGTTGTTGTAGCCAGTTGTGAAGGCATCTGACTTAGCCTACTTGAACCGAAATGTCTACGTGCATAGCAGAAGATTGCATCTTTTTTACAGGAATATTCCAGCCAATCTCTGTTTTGAAACCATGAGCTGCAAAATGAGCACCTTACCCCACTGTACAGGCGAGTTGGGTACTTTTTTAAATATACCTGGGCAGGTTCTGTTTTGCCGAGGTCCTCTGACACTTGCGGGCTGCCGAGGGGTGGCGGTGTTTGGGGCAACGAAGACAGCTGCGGCTGCTCCGCCTCCGTGGGCGAGTCAAGCATGAGTCCCCATGATCTGAACTGTTATTACCTGCAGTAGATGCAGTGTTACTGCTGGCGATAAGGGCTGGTTGTTTTAACAATTTTCTGATGTCCATCATTGACTGCTGTGTCAGCACCTTGCAGATGCAGATCTTCTTCTTCTTCTTCTTCTTCTTCTTCTTCTTCTTCTTCTTCTTCTTCTTCTTCTTCTTCTTCTTCTTCTTCTTCTTCTTCTTCTTCTTCTTCTTCTTCTTATTACTACTATTATTATTATTATTGTTATTATATATGTAATATTTTTCACTTTTCATTTTTTTTTTTTTTTTACTTTTCATTTTTCAAATGAGGGTGTGCGTAATGACTCAACCTTATGCACCCCCGTAGAACCTGGCCTGCGTATGAGATATCTTGAAGTGCAAAATGTTCATCCTGTATTATGGTGGGCTTTCAGCTCAAAATGTCAGTTTTTTTAATCCTAGTTCATGAAATATCCAACTATTTTGTTACCTTTCGTGTCCTGCAGAAAGGAGCAGAGCATTTCTGAGGAGGCCGAGGAACCGACCATTAAGGAACCAGGTAGAACCAGGTTTTTTTTCTTCTTAAAATTGACAGTATAGTCCCCTCGAGGAAATATGATTGTTAAGAGTGACAAAAAGTATATAGCACGTTTAGTCTAAGCATAAACTTTCTATAATATTTCTATATTTTATTGAACCTTCACATCTTATTAACCACTCATCAAGGCAGATTTACGTATATTACTATAATAATATTACATCTAATGACATCTATCATTAAAAACTATTTAGAGCCAAAGGAGCAAGCGAAGCCACAGCGGTCGTCCCCCTCCCCACCTCCAAAACCTGAACCAGTTAAGATCCAAGAACCTGAGTCAGAGTCGGAGCCAGAGTCGGAGCCAGAGTCGGAGCCAGAGTCGGAGCCTGAACCAGAACCAAAGACAGAGACAGAGACCCGGGAAGCCAACTCAGGAGCTGAGCCCATCACCCAGCAGCCGCAGAGGGCAAAAGAAGACGATCAAAGCAACAACGCTGACAACGCTGCTGAAAAAGTAATGTACACCTGGTGAACATGCACAGTGATAAATGTTTTACCTCATATACGACTGCAATACAGGTAACTCAGTTATTTCTAAATATCGTTAAATCTTCTTGCTAATTTCCAATTTCATTCTGTTAATGTAATTCATGTATTGAAGTATAACAGTTAAGGAAGGCTGAGATAAGGTTCCCTAAATGGAAATACATTATTTTAAATATTTAGCCCAAGGCTCATTCAAATGGGGAGCTATTATACACAGATGTGTGATTCTTTTTGATGCCATATGCCATATCCAATCTAAAGTGAAGCTCAACACTCCCCAGCCATTCATATGCTTTGTGTTTTCTTTTCTGTGGAAGGAGGAAGCTACTGAGGACGGCTGTGGTGGTACGTTCTGTCCTATTTTGTTGTTTCTTATTTTGATTTATACGTGACTTTGGCTAATTAGCAGTTTCATTCCGGCATGCCTGACTGGCTGGTTGTGCTGTGTTAAACTCACAAGCTGCTTATCTAACTGTTGTTTTAACTTCTCTACATCCGCATCCTTTAGTGTACATGTCGCCTGGTGTGTGTAGGCCATGGTTACTATTCCTCTTATCGTTTCTCGTTCATGACCTTTAAGGGAAACTAAAATGAAAACAAGGGGTAGAAAATATTCTCAAGCCAATAAAAAAACGATATCCTTTATTCAACTTAAAATAAATGGAAATGATATGACTGGTAAGTTAGAAGTTAGCAATAGTTAATTAAAAAAAGTTATTTTTTGTATCTATAATAAATCACATTATGTTCATTCCTTGTGCACTCAAACCCAGAAATGGAACACACCTGTTGCATTTGCTTTACAAATAATGTCTCTTGTCTTGCACAATCAGTCCATTCTTGTACAATTAAATAACAAGAACATCATTTATACAACCTTTATTTACCAAATAGCTGCATCTTACACATAACACAACAACATTAGACAGTAGGTACAACACAGAACTAAATACGTTTTATATGCAATAAAAACAGAAATATGTAGTTGTATTGTTGGTACATTTAAGTAATGCAGCTTGCATGGACCACTTTATTTCTCCTTCATTTAAAAATAATTATAAGAGATAAAGGTGCTTGAGTGTAAGGCCTTAATGAAAACAAAAAAAAACGTAAACTAAATACAAAAAAGATAAACCTTTCCTAGAAAACTGAAACTTTCAAAACTGACATTGAAAATGTAAAAATAAAATAGAACCAAAAATTCCAAACCCATATTACAACCCTGATTCAGGAAAGACTACATTGCTGTTTGACTGTCTACTGAAGCCCTCTCCCACCTTGCCTATATCCTGCCTGACTGTCTCTGAACTGTCTCCTCTACAGCTCCAGTCAGCTGTGATGCATTTAAGAGCTGCCTGATGCGCCTTCCTCAAACCTCCGAGTGCCTGGGCAACATCAACGCGTTCTTCAAAGAGAACGGCATCTCCATTCCCAAAATACCCCCTATGCCTAATCTACCCACCCAGCTCTCTGACGTTACCAACTACTTACCCTCCCTCCCCCCTGAGTTGCGCCAAGAGCTCTCCCAGATCCGACTGACCCAGGTCCCCCGAAATATCGCCCAGACTCTGACCGAGCTTTTGCCCAAAAACTCTGACGGTTCAGTGGGCCCAGATCTGTCCAGTATTTCCCAGGGCATTTCAAACATCCCGCAGAAGCTCTCCCAGATTCCCACGCGGGTGCAGCAGTACTTCCTCAACGTCCAGAACCGCCTCAACAGCCTTATGCCTCAAGATGCCTAAGAAACAACAACAACAGCAAAAACAGAAGCAAGACAAGAATCAGCATGACGTGGAACTGAACCGGCTCGTCCGGCCCTCCCCTCTCTCTCCTGCTCATCTCCGGTCCCGCTCCCCGTCTCCATCCTCCCTCAACGGCAGCACCCTCGAGTTGCCCAATGTGCCATCCTACCCGCGCCTGCCGCCAATCGTCAGCTCCCCCTCAAAGCAGCTCAACTCAGCGTCCTGCCAGCTCTCAGGTCTCTCTAACCCGGCGTTCTTCATAGAAGACGACTCAGACATTCCAGCAATAAGAGCTGCAGGTGAATCAGCAGAAAGTCATCTGTGCTCTATCATTAGATTCCTTGAAGATACCTAAACTCATCCATTATAAGTAAACTCATAATGTGTGGCAGGATTAGCATCTCTAAAACTGAAAAAACGTTTGATTGCTCGTACACTTTATTTAAAATCATAGATCATAAAATCATTTAAACAAAGCACCGAAAATCATTATTACTGTAGCTTAGTTTTTAAAGATAAGTGCTAAGAAACTATTCCATTATGTCGACAGAGGAGTACACATTTTTTAAATATACACCATGGCTGCCCTCCATTTCTTGTTAAAGTTTGTAACAAACTATACATGTACAAGAGAGCATGTTGACACTTTTTTATATTTATTGAAGAAGACACAATTGTGCCAGTGTGCCATGAGCCTGATTAGCCAGACTCAATGTCTTACCAGGTGAGTAAGCTAGTCCTCTCGGCCTCCAGGACTGTTATACATGGCCTGGTTCTCAGGTAGATCCTTTTGAGTCAGGCCTAATTAGATCCAGGAAAATCTGCCTCTCTCTAACGTTGACCTGATTAGCCCAAATACACATGCACATTATTTGAGATGCCGTTCACTAATCAACAACAAACATGTTTTGTCTTTAAACCTCTCCAGAGAGCTCTAGCCTCAGCCTTCGGCCAGCTGTCAATGTAGAAGATGTCGACTCCGACCATGAGAGAGGAGGTGAAAGAGGAGCAGGAGGAGGTGGGGAGGGTCAGAGCCATGTCCCCCAAATCCTCGGCCCCCAGGACCCCAAAATCACAACCCTCACTGTCCCTGTGACCCCTTCAGGATGTCGCCAAAGGTGAGAAATCTGGTTTTAACTTACACATGTTCACATATTAATATCATATGCCTATCATTTTGAAAGGCTGATTTTGGATATAAACAAGTACATGCATTATAATATGTTTCCCTCCCCTCATGCTTCTTATCCACAGCAAAGGAGACAAAGAGTAAGTAACCATCTTGTTGGTCTTAAACTGTTTTGTGTGTTTGAGAAGGATCTACTGCCCCCTACTGTCTGCTACAGTCTGTACATCAGTGTCCTGCAGAAACGACATGTGTGTGCTTCAGAACATCTGAAAGGCCTTTATTTGGCTCAAAGGTTGTGAAATCTATTCTGCACATCAACAACAGTTCTAGTTGCCAAAAGGTCACACACCATGAGACCAGCACAGTCTGTCATGTGAAACATTGTGAAACTATTATTGTTTGTTTCTCTTGTGATGTTCTTTTCACTTTTGCATGTCTTTATCGGATTGTTGCAAAAGTAAAATAGATGCACCACAATCTTGCACTCTGTCCACTACTTGTAGTCATGAATGGGCCTACCGGGCACAAAACACTCACAAACAGCGGATCAATTACAACAAACATACACAAACAACTACATTTGATATGAGACACCTCAAAGAGTTTGGGTATCGAGAGGCCCATTGGCTCATATCCGTCCATGCAGTACTGTAGAGATGATACCTTCACTTGTCATCCACTTGCTATGCCTCTCACAAACCCCCCCCCCACCCCCCCATCCCTGTTTCTTAACATTTCCCCTTTCTCTACCCTGCTCTCATCTTCCGTATCAGCAGTGGGAGGAATCGTATATGGACTAAGATGTAAGATATTAACCCTTGTTAATCACTGTTTTAACTTATCTAGAGTCCATGTATTGTTTTATTTACACATGCTGTCCAGTCGATCATTTATTCATCTTTATTCATTCACCCATTCAAATGTGTCAGTCTTTGCTCATCTGCTCATTTAATCAGTATTTTCACTGCAAATTCATTAATAAATCATAAATAGCAGTAAGAAAGTCAACAGTAAGCATAATAGTCAGAAATAAAGCGTATTTGTAATAATGTCAAAATAATTTAGAAATACTATCATGCATGATGTAAAGTAGAGCCACATTACATTGAATTATGTTCTGATAATTTGAAACAATGATTTAACTAAAATACTCCTGTAAATGTAACAGTAGGACCCTTCACTCTCAAAGTGAAGATGATGATGAAGAAGGAAGCACCCACGTCAGAGCCTGGCCCAGCCAGTCCAGCCTGCACAGCTCAGAAGACATGTGAGCGTTGCACACACACACACACACATCCACACAACCACGCACACACACACACACATCCACACATCCACGCACACACACACACACATCCACACATCCACGCACACACACACACACATCCACACACCCACGCACGCACGCACACACACACACACACACACACACAGTCACACAGTCACACTGACACTGCTTACTACTAACTGACGTTTTGAGTTTTTGAATAAAGTGCTGACATGCAGTGTTGAATGGACAACAATACAAGTGTATTTATCTGTGTTTTCCTTAGAATGAGAGAGCGGCCAGCATCGTCGGCCAGTCAGACCAGTACGGTGGTGAATGAGCGTCTCCAGGAGCTGGTCCGGATGTTTAAAGACAGAACGGAGAAGGCGAAGGAGAAACTCATAGACCTGGACAGCTCTGATGAAGACAGCATCGTCCCCTGTGAGTCCCTGCCCTCTTCTCTCTTTCAACTTTAGTAACCCTCGGCTGATTTCAGTACAGCTCCAAACCTTGCATCCTTACACACAAATGTTTCTGAGACTATAGGGAGTGTAGGTAACCCTAACGCAAAGTTGGTGGGCAAAGCGTGCCCCCATGATTTATTTATTTACACCTTTTTAGCACACTTTTAAATATATTTTCCCTATATGAAACAAACAATGCAACATTTGCAAACAAAATGTAGTTTTATTTGTATTAATCAAAACCTAAGGGGTAAGAGATTAACATTGCTATAACTACATTTAAAATCATTTGAACATGCAGTCTTTCTGATGGTGCGATTAGTTATATGATTGATTTGTTTCACAATGGGCTTCCTAAATGCACAACTTTCATATAAACCAAATGTTGGAGATTGATTATGTACATTTATATTATAAAATCATATACATAGTGTCATACTAGCTGGACAATTGCCTGTCACATGGAGCTTTTTTAAAGAGATCAAGGTAACATTAAACAAAGAAATCGTTTTTCATTATCTCACACATATTCTTTTTGTCCAGCCTGTTTCCGGCTGCTGGCCATGTGTATCCTCAATATACAACAGTACACTTTTAGAAATAAAGAAGTTGCGCAGATCTACATTTGGATGGTTGTGGGACAAAATCAGCAGTTTACAGTTGAAAAAGAGAAGTGTGACTGTGCACACTACATCTTTACAAGTTCCTGAGTATTAATCGTTTCAATAAAAATTAGGGTGGAAGCACCCTAACATTAGGCAAAGTAAGAGTCACTTTAGGAAGTGTATAACATTACAACGGTTTCAAAAAAGAAAAAAACATGAGAAAGACAGTAAGCTACAAAGGTTTATAACAAGAAACTTTTAAAATATATTTTCTACAGTCACTTTGACTCACAGATAATATTTTGTCTTTTGGCATAATGTAATGTTAAGCTGTGGAATAACCGGTAATAACTGAAGTGGTAGTTTCCAGCTTAAGCTATCATTCTTTTAGGAGCTGTGAGGCCAACTAACAGCAGGCATCTATAATGTGCACATAGCTCCAAAAAAGAGGTGTCATTCATATTCATACATGATACCTTTGATATGTTCATTCAAATTGACTGGTAAGATATTTGTTGATCAAGAACAAAACAATGGTGGTCCATCTGATCCATGTAGCGTAAAAGAAGTACAGTTACAGTTCCTTCATTCTGAAACTTTTTGGAGAAAATACGAATGTTCCAGATCTTATCTTATTATCTCTCTTACGAGTTCTTCTGACTTTCTCCCTCTCACCTCCCCTCAGCTCCTCCTCAGACTTCGACTGCTCAGCCTGAAGCTCAGCCAGTGGTCGGAGGAGAGAAGGAGGAAGAGGCAGGCCCCTCAGGAGGAAGAGGAGGAGGAGGAGTGGAGAGTGGAGTGGAGGAGCAGCAGTCTGGCCGCTGCTGCAAGGTGAAAGCTCCTCGGTGGATACTCGCTTGTGTGCACTACCGCTTCCCTGCCAGCATCGACCCTTTCACCAGTGAGAACCCAGCCGAGTCTCCCCCCGCTGCCCGAACACCACCCTGCTCTACACTAGAAGCTCCTTTACCCAACTCACAGACTAACACTTTTCAAAGTTCTGACATTTATTGAAATGAATTGAGCGGTTTACTGCTCATTATTAAAGATCTAAAGTGTTTTTAAGTGTGTTTATATGCAACCAGAGTGCAATGGCTTAGCGCTGTGGGGTTTGGGTAAAGATGAATCTACAGTACTGTCCAGTTACATGCACCTGTCTTCTCATCATCTGTCATTCACCCCTTCATCTTCCCTCTTTCCCTTCATTCGTAAGGACTTAAGGAGCTAGTTCATCCTCCACAACCAATTGTTCTACTTTGGCATAAAACGAAGTTCTGTATAATCCACATGTTGCTTTTTATCACAGATCCTATCCTGCTTGCTTTTACGGCTGTACCAAATTCCTTATTTTTGTAATTAACACAGTCTGAAGTTTCTGGAAATCTTTCCATCACAGCATTAAAATATCCTACACAAGCCACCTCTATTTCAACAGATAACATAAGTATGAATAGCTTCAGCGTAGCATCATCTTGATCTGCAACTGTGCAGAAAAACCCAGGAAATAAATACAATATATATATCGATTAAGAATTGAAATGTTTAACGTTATAAATTAAGCTTTTGTATTCATGCTCTTTTTCCATCACTCTGTAGTTACTGGCATACCGTATGAGTACTGGTTGATTTCAGCCTCTCCTTAGACCCATCTCCCTCCCTCCCTTGTTCCTCTGCCTCTCTCCTCAGACTTGATGTACGTGCTGTGGATGTTTTTGGTCTCTTTTGCGTGGAACTGGAACGCTTGGTTCATCCCGGTGCGCTGGGCCTTCCCCTACCAGACCCCCGACAACATTTACTACTGGCTGCTGACCGACTACCTGTGTGACCTCATCTACATCCTGGACATGACCATCTTTCAGCCGCGCCTGCAGTTCGTCCGTGGAGGAGACATAGTGGTGAGGGGGACGCTGGGAACATGATAACATTTTATTTAACAGAATTGCTGATTGTTTTCGGAAACATCATGCCTTAATGGAACTTTAAAAAAATAAAATCTTTTTAACAAATTATTTCACTTTAAACTGAATTAAACCGAAAATCAGCTTAAACATATATTTTTTCAAAACAGTAATCTTAATGTCATAACTGTTGAAAAGCACAACAGTAATTACAAATACAATTTGATTAATTGCCAAGACCTAGGAAACATTGTTTTATTGTGAACAAAAAAAAGAACACATAGCTAAGCTTTGTTTTTAAAGGAATTACAACGTTTGAGTATTCTTCATACCAGCAATCGTTCTGTTTTTTTATTACAGTGTGACAAAAAAGAGATGAGAAAGAATTACATGAAAACCAAACGCTTCAAGGTAAGTTACTTGAGTTGAAATAAAGTAGCATTTGAAGTGTTTTTTGCTTTACTTCATGTATTTAATTAGGTGCTACATTTCTGTTTTTCAGTTTGACTTAGCCAGCCTTGTTCCCCTGGAGATCTTCTATTTTAAAACTGGCATCAACCCTCTGCTTCGTTTACCCCGGCTGCTGAAGGTGAGCTTTATTACTGCTTTAATAAACCACTAAGAATCCTTTCACATAAATGTACTACGCTACAAACAGCGGACACTGAGGATATCACATCTATTGTCAGTGTGGCATCAATACAAAGGAGAAGTTAACTTCCAGGGCTCTGTTTATCCGCTTTGAAAAATAGGAAGTCAATTATTCAGCTATCAATTTTCCAACTGTTAGAATGCCAATTTTGAAACTAACCATTGTTTCGCCTCCCCAGATAAACTCCTTCTTTGAGTTCAACGAGCGTCTAGAGGCCATCTTGACCAAAGCCTACATCTACAGGTCAGCTGCAGCATATCTCACTGCCCTTAAAGGAATCCTCTCTATATCTCTGTTGCTGTCACGGTGTCTTCCTTCCTTCTTTGAGATGAGCAAACAGATTTGAGATATTCTGTTTATTTAAATTCTTTGCTTTCTGTCTCCCAGGGTGATCCGCACCACCACCTACCTTCTCTACTGTCTCCACTGTAATGCCTGCCTGTACTACTGGGGCTCTGCCTACACAGGGCTGGGCTCCACACAGTGGGTGTACAACGGCAAAGGCAACAGGTCAGTGCCATTAACCCATTCACACACAGACTACACACACATCACTTTTTTTAATGACTATAGTAGTAAATGAATTCCATGATTATTAACGTGTTCATATAAATATGTATATGTAATTTAATAATGTGACAAACATTGTAATTGAGACACAAACAAATCAATAAACTACAACCCTGTACTGCTACATAACATCTGCTCCTGGTGGCGAGCATCTTGTCAAGCTGCTCCACTCACCGCAGTAGCTGCAGAAGGTTTTTGGGACATTTCCAAAAAATTTGAAAACTTTTAAATATTGATTGCAGAAATCAAATCATATGTGAAAATGTGGATGGTTTTTAGCTGAATCAGTCACATATAGAATCCTCTTGGTCTATTCTAGTCCCATATGTTGGCATTTATTTAACATCTTATCAAGTTATAATTCTGAAGACATTATCTTTTCTCTGTCTCTGTGTAATGCTTCCCGTCGTTGTCTCTGCTCAGTTACATTCGCTGTTACTACTTTGCTGTGAAGACCCTGATCACCATTGGTGGTCTGCCGGACCCCACCACCCTGTTCGAGATTGTCTTTCAACTCATCAACTACTTTGTTGGAGTCTTTGCCTTCTCAATAATGATTGGACAGGTAGGCCGTTCACACATTTTTCAAGCCAACACAAACTCCATTGCGAGAGCGAATACAATGAAATACTTAATCTTCTTCCCTGTACTGTTAACTTTGCTTTTAAGTGCAGTGTTACCTACTGATAGGGCATGTTTGCTGCTTTTTCTATGTACTATCTTTCTACATTTTTTATTGATATTATTTTTCTACACCTTAAATTAAGGGGAGTTCTAGATCTTATGCATTCTTATGTGTGTATAAAAAAACAGAGACACTTGCCACAATTGCATGCCATTAACCTCTTTGTGCAAAATGGTGTTATGTTTGTCAGATGCGTGATGTGGTCGGCGCAGCCACTTCAGGTCAGACTTACTACCGCACATGTATGGACAACACCATTAAATACATGTCCTCATATCGCATCCCCAAAGACGTGCAGAACCGTGTCAAAACCTGGTACAACTACACCTGGCAATCACAAGGCATGCTGGGTAAGGAGAGCATGATCTGTGCACCTTCCTTCGTCTCTTATACACGTCACATTTCAGTCAATCTGTACCTCTCATTATCTGCCCTCCAGATGAGCAGGAGCTGCTGACTCAGCTGCCAGATAAAATGCGTCTGGACATCGCTATTGATGTCAACTACTCCATCGTCAGCAAAGTCGCTCTTTTTCAGGTAAAAACACATAAGATGAATACAGTACTCAATACAGTATATTCTTAAATCTACAATTCAGTAAGACAGACATGGTTTAGTTAGTATCTAATCTTGCTGTGAGACCAAGTTGTGCTGTATATAGTCATAAAACGGCCCAAAAAGATGATACATTTGTAAATTAATAAAAATATAAATCTTTACAATTGTTCTTTTCATGTTTTTAAAAAATATATATTTCTACATTTAATATTTTATCAATTTATGCATATATTTTACATCTTTTTATTTACTTTACATACTTCCCCCCCCCATTTATGGCACTGTTATGACTCCATAGATAGTACACTTGTGATAAGGACAGCCACAAGAGATCACTGCTTTCTCTCTTTTCGTCCTCCATCTTGACAGGGTTGTGACAGACAGATGATCTTTGATATGCTGAAAAGCCTTCGCTCAGTTGTCTACCTGCCTGGGGATTATGTCTGCAAAAAGGTAGAATGCAAACTTATTTGTTTGTAGAAAGTGTATGTGGCAACTTTTCTTATCATTGTTGCCATGTGTATTGCTCTGTCCCTCTTATGATCTGCCTCTTCTTCTCTTTATATTGCTCAGGGGGAGGTGGGTCGTGAGATGTACATCATAAAGGCGGGGGAGGTGCAGGTGGTCGGGGGACCGGATGGAAGGACCGTGTTTGTCACCCTCAGAGCGGGATCAGTCTTCGGGGAGATCAGGTGAGGACATTTATCAAATCATTATTATGTACAGTTCTTGCCTATCTAAGCTGCCAACTCTGACAATCAGGAAGTGTGATTTTTTTACTTTTGTTCTAAAACCTTTGGATGAAATCCATAAAATGTTATGTTAAAAAGTCCAACTGACCTATGGCAAAGTTAACAATATCGCTTTTTAACCATAGTTTCTGTGATTGGCAGTTTGCTTGCAGTGGGTGGGGGTAACCGGCGCACAGCAAATGTTATCGCTCATGGATTTGCCAACCTCTTCATCCTGGACAAGAAAGACCTGAATGAGATCCTGGTGCACTACCCAGAGTCCAAGAAACTGCTCCGCAAGAAGGCCAGGTTAAACATCAGTGCACCACACAGCAGCAATTATCATTATCTTGAAACCACAACAAAAAAAATACTTGGCATACTGCTTTGTATCTGTCCTGTAGATATACTGGGGCCTCAGAAGTAGAGTTATCCAAGAGCTTTGTTGCTTTGTCTGCATGTATCACACCATTACTGATGTCTGTTGCTGTCTCAATCACAGGAAGATGCTTACCAAGGGAAAGAAACCTGAGCCCAAAGAAGAGCCTAAAGGTCCCCCTCAGGCCCCGGCAGCCCCTGTAAGACCGGAAACCCCCAAACTGCTGAGAGCAGCCCTGGAGATGGCAGAGAGATCCACAGGACTTAAAGGAGCTCTGGCTAAAGTCAAAGAGAAGACCAACAAGTCCAGTGTCTCATTACAGGTGAACATACACCGGAAACCAAAAGCAGATGTATGTTGCGTCTGTAGATGCATTGACCAAAAGAGGGCATTAGATAATGCCTTCTTTGTATATCAAACCAAATATTTTAGAAAACTCAAAAATGTATGGTGGTAACAAACTTTTATTTTTCAAATTTTACAATACAAATCTTCAAAGGCCGTCTCAATTTTGTCCCTCCTACTCTGAGCCAGAACTCTTCCCAAACATCTAACTATTCAATGTAATTCCTATCAATTTTATTTTTATTTTCTTTGAACACATATTTCATAAGATAATTCCTAATTTGCATATGGTTATCCAATATCCACATTTTCAGAAATCTTAATACAAAAATAATTGTCTTGACCTCTTCTCCTCCAGCCCTCCGTCTGCTCCTCCCTGCCTCCTCCATCTCCCTCCTGCAGCTCCGGCCCTGACAGAGACGAGGACACACCGTCACCTCTCTCCACCAGCTCTGCCACATTTCGCTCTGCCTCCCGTTGCTGCAACAACAACAACAACAACAACTCTGCGATGCCTCACTCTGCGTCACAGTGCCACGGCGATTCGGAGGAAATGCTCACAATGGACCAAGGAGAGGAGAGTGTGAGCGAAACTGAAGGGAACGAGGGTAGGAAGAGGAAAGAAAAAAAGTTGTGATAATTATTTAAAGGACAACGCAAGAACTGGATAACAATCCTGAATAGGAGAGGGGAAATTGGTGTGATGGAAATAGACATCGCTTTAAAGGGGCCCTATCATGCATTTATGAGCTCTGGTTTCAGGCAGAGGGTGAAAAGAGATGCTGCAACACAGGCAGTGTGATGAAAATAAAGAGCTTTTTGAACATTAAAGTGTGGAGACATGTCACACTAGAGACACTAAATACACATATCAATCTGAAAATGAGTGAAATATGGCCCCTTCAAAGGGAAAAATAGAGGAATATATGACATAAACTGACAGGATGGCGGTAATAAAGAGTAACTGTCACGTCTTGATGTCAGCCTGATCTGATAGTGGGAGTTGTGTGGGACAAAAATATTAAGGTAGTACTGTATTCTTTTCTGACCTACTAATCCAATGTGTACAGTTTAGACTTGTTGCCTGCTATATTTTGACTTTTGTGTCAAATGTCATCGACCCTGATTCTCTATTAGTTGCTTTTGCTTTTGTTTTTTATCAACCTCCACACACTGTGTTCATATGTATTCTTGTCATTATAAGATCACCAAACGTAGGAGCAAGCCTTCCCCACCTTTTCAGACTTAAAGCACATTTTCATAATCTTCTCTGAGTTTACAGTACAGATTTCAATGTAGCTATTCTTTTACTTCTTGCTACATCTTGTCTTTCTGATACAAATGTTTTTGCTGTTGTTGTTCACTGACTGTTCACAGATTATTTTGTAAACTTGAAAGAACAATCTGCCTTATCTGTGTTGTTATTTACATTTGTGTTGTATTGTGTGAGTAGCTTGCACTGCTGATGTTTTCACAAGTTGGTTTGAACAGCAGAGACCTAGTGAAACTGTATTTCAGGTTTTAACATGATCATCATGGTTTTATTGTTTATTTTGTACAATATTGTAAATATATTTGTTTTTGGAAATGTAGCTGAATCACATTTCAATGTAAATTCACTGCAGTGTCACAACCATACAACATGTACATACATGTAGATTCTGATAATAGTAAATGTTTAATCTGTGCTGTATAGCACACATTTCTTTGTGTGATTGTTAAGTTATTGATAGAGCCTCAGGAATGGGGCCGTAAACCAGCTAACCATACTGCCAGACAATCTGTAGAAAGAATTATAAATGTTGTATAAATGTATCGTGTGTGTGTGTGTGTGTGTGTGTGTGTGTGTGTGTGTGTGTGTGTGTGTGTGTGTGTGTGTGTGTGTGTGTGTGTGTGTGTGTGTGTGTGTGTGTGTGTGTGTGTGTGTGCGCGCGCGCGCGCGTTTGTGCGGTGAGAGACGAGTGCATAATGGACTCAAATGAGTGTATGATAATGCCCTTGATTTTGTCACTGATGTTTCCCTGTCTTTTGTGAATAAATGACCTGTTTCTGCATATTTGGTCTGAGTTTTTCTGTAAATACTTGCAATGACCATCGAACATAGTAACATACCAAGTTGTGGTATATAACTATGTTCATTTAATCAAATAACACTGTACTAAAGTACAATTTTGACCCACTTGTAACATCTATTTTGTTTATACTCCTACTTCACTACATCTCAGATGGAAACATTTAACTTTAATTCCACAACATTTAGTTTATAACTAGCTGCTTGACATGTTTAAATTATTAATACAAAGCTATATCTATATATTCTGCATTATGAGGAGGCAACTTTTACTTACCGTTCGCCTACTTAAAATCGTGTAGTATAATTGTATGTTCATACTTTTGAATGCAGGAAAACATTTTCTACACTGTGGAAGTACTGCTTTCACTTTAGTAAACATGTTAGTACTTCTCCCACCCTTGTAATTTGTGTATGTATATTATTAATTGATTTGCAATGATGCGCCATTAAACGGTTTCAGAACGACCACAGTGGAAACTCCAGTGCCATTTATCTAGGTCAAAACATACTGACTAACTGACTTTATGGAGGTGAAAAGGTCAGCTAAAGGAGAGCTAAACTCATTATACCCACAAGGCCCCGCCCCCTCTGACGTCAGTGTTTTCCCTCGCTCAGCTGATCCCAGTCAGACCGCCTACGGAAATGTTGTACAGTGCAGGATAAAGTAGCTTAGTGACATGACAGCATGCAACACATACCTCTGTTGGCTTCCATTGATCTGGTAATATTACTGCTCAGTTTCCGGATACATTTAACGGTTTATAATATACGCATGAGCTATTAGCATGAACGCTAGCATTGGTAATTACTTTTGCAGCTAGCTAGCATCAGTGAGAGCCAACTGAGCCCCTCGTGATGGTGCGGACTTGTTTATACTAACAGAGGAGAAGCTGAGATGGAAGACTGCAATGGGGAGGACATTATAGCAACACCTGAGCTACCTCTGGAGGTGAGTTCATGTACTAGTAGACATAAATAAGAAGATGCAACAGACTCTTCTGTTTATTTAAACATTCATAACAGTTTATTCTAGGCTGAATCCCAGAATAAAAAAAGGTTTTAATGTATGAATTATTATATTTTACTTCATTTAAGAACTGGGGTTCAAGGAATATATCACGAAAATATCTCAAAAAAGAAAATGTAATTATTTTGTATTGTCAATCTGTAATATACAAATACATACATGTAATACTGAAGGAAGTCTGTATGCTTTTAACAGGTTTTATATAATGTAACTGTCTGTCACGTTTGTCTATTGTTTTCTGAAGTATGAAAATACAATGAAGAAAAAGGAAGTCCCAATGGCCCCACCAAGGGATACGGGTTAAAATGCTGATTTAAAAGGCTAAAATGATCATACACTTCTAGAATTTTAATATAATATAGTTATGACTCTCATGTCCCTATAAAGAACATACATGTGAAATATCTGCTATGTTGAAATGACAGAAAATGTGCTTTGCTGGCTCCCAAAAAGCCAAGGTTTACATTTTCACAGAACCTCACTCAAACAGGCTGTATGCATGGGGTTTTGTAATAAAGGCCTCAGTGCCCTGTCCCTGGCAGAGGCCATAAGTCAATTCCCGGGTCTCAGTAGAGCAGAAGTCCTTTGCTGGTGGATTAGGACGTGTTATGACATTGCTATTCTTGTCAAATGACATTATGTCATTCAGTCATCCAATATGCTGTCTTTTGAGGGAATACATACTGTCAGGTGACCCTGGGGTGGATTTCCTCTTCCAGCATTAACACATTTGAATGTAATCTAACGTTGTATTCCTGTCCTCAGATCATAGTTTACATCCAGAGCTTTCTTCACGCTTCAGACAGGAAGGATGCCTCGCTGGTCTGCCGCAGCTGGTACTACGCCAGTCAAGACTTCCACTTTCAGGTAATTAGCTTCAGGGAATAAAGTGTGATGAATCGGCATTGTACATTCTTAAAAAACAGGGTGTTAACTATTTGAAAAGTGACTGTAGAAGGATCTGCATGACTCATGAGTGTGTAAAGCTTTGGGGCAAAGTAAACTCCATGCCTCTTCTCTGTTTCTCTCTGTGCAGAAGAACCTCACCTTCAGCTTCCCGGCTTCAGCCTCGTCCCTGGAGCTGATCAAGGGTCTGGGCAGGAAGTCCCGCTGCAGTCTGATTATCAAACAGCTCGATGGGTTCAGCATGTCCAGGTCACTGCTCCAGGAGGTACAGTATGCTCACATGATTAAAAAAGTCTTTACTCGTTAGGATGTGTGCAGGTGTTAACTGAAGAACACCTCTAGCTTCCGTATTAACCGAAAATAAGTCGCTCTTAATGGTCAAGAGAAAATGTCCCCCGAATCCAAAAAGTGGAAGTTCCTTAACCTGCATACTTTCTAATACTTAGCAGGAAGCAATGTATCTGGTTGTATAGAAGTCTATGAGAGAATGACCCTTCTTCTAGCTTCCTTTATTGACTCGGTAACATTTTGATGGCTTCAATTGTTAGTTTCAAGTGTTCTTTATTACATCCTGATGACCATTAATAAATTAAGGTCCCATTTGCAGTAAAGTAGATTTTTTTTGGCATTCAGTTTTTACTTTACTCTATCCTCTTGTCACATTTGTAGTTGAAAATAGACAAGATGACCAAGGGCCAAGATGCGTTACTGGAGGGTTCAAAATGACCCAACAATTGGGTGGAGTCACTGTGACTAAGGCCAAAGGAGAATAATTGGGAGCAGATTTGGATGGATGAAATATATAATTGCTGAGTATTTCTAATAGGGTGTGTTAAGACAAGTCATCCTTCTCTACTAAAACAGTAGCTTTTATTTTGGGAACTTTATTGCTGTTGTCATGTGAACCCTGATAGCACTAGCGTTGTATTTTCACTTAAAATGATCACACGATTTGTCGTAGGTCCAGACATTTTCCCTACCTCAAGGGCTTATGTGAGAGCCATTTAAAAAAAGACTGAGCAAACCAAAGTTGTTTGGATTGTATTCATCCTGCACATCATCTGGCTAAAAATGCTCAAAGGCTCACATTGCAGTCAGCCAGAAATATGATTTGAAACCTGCTTTATCTTGAGTGTTTGCATTGTATCACTCTAATCATTTTGATTACCCATCAAACTCCCATAAAAAGGTCCTATCCAGCAGATAGTAAATTCAACTCTGTTCTCTTGCCACGCTTGTCTCTTCGTTCCAAAGCCCCAACCTGTTTCTTTTTTCTTTCTTATGTGATTGTCTTTGCCTTTTCCCCCCCTTCAGGTGGGTTTGTGTTTGGGCTCTAAGCTGGAGAGCTTGGCCCTGCCCGGCAGCAGTATAACAGAGGCCTCTCTGCTGAGCCTCCTCCCCCGCCTCACCTCCCTCCGCAGGCTGGACCTCAGGGGTCTGGACAGCCTCTTCATGTCTGGGGCTTTCCTCTCCAGAGAGGAGCACAGACACCAGGTATTATATACTCTATTCTCTAAATGTGGCATTATTTTTTTCTGTAAAATGTGTCTGTGCTTTGGCCTATATTTGATAAAACAGCTAAAGAGAAATTAAGGAAGACAGAAGGAAATGAAATGTGGCTAAGGGCTGTGGGTTGGATTCGAACCCTGTCCGTTTGCCTTTTTTTTTAGGGGGATCCAAACGTATACAGCAACAGTAAGGCTTTAATGAAGTAATGATGCATTAGTTTAAAGTCAAGCTAATGAAATATGTAAGAAGAAGCCTCGCCCCGCCGCCTCTCGCTGCCATATCGCCTTTGAGTTCGACCCGTATCGAGGGGGAAGAAGGAAGAGATAAGCTATTGGGTTGTACCACTTTATTTAGAGTTGATATCAGAGTTGAGCTTATGTTTCGATGCTGATTATTTAACATATTATTTTGCAGTCTGGTCTCAAGAATGTCCATGATCTAGTATTGATTGCTTTATTAAGAATAATTCAGTAACTAATATTTCCTCATTTGTTATTTTCTTACACATCCCTTGGTAAATATTCAGGACTTCATGTCAGTTGCCACCAGCAGTTTGGTTGTTTTCACATCTTTCTGCTGCACAATCTTGACCAAGCATCTCTTTATGTTATTACATTGCTTAGTTTTAGTGCTACATTGCCCAGCTTTACTTATTTACTGGTTAATTCAATGGAATGGTTATTTACTGCAGAATGTAGGTCACTATCCAGCCCCCATGAAACTACACTGTGTAGAGGAAGTGTGGCAGCACCATCTGGCATGCAGTGTTAGTTAGTTAACCAACCTATTTACTGTACATGGAAGAAGAAAGTTTACCATGTAGAAAAAAAGAAGAAAAGCCCTGTGGTGTGAAGATGAAAATGACATGTAAATATTGCAGCCAATTCGGAATCTGCACTGACTGAACCCTCTGTAGCAAAGATACAGCAGCTAGTTTGCGAGGTAGCCATTGCTAGCCTTAGCTAAACCTTAATCTAATCACATTAATAAAAACAAATATTTTGAATAACCAACATCTTGGTATCTCACTGTTTTATTCCACATAGCTAAATAAGACACATGCTAAATGTTGTCATGGTGAAGATAAAACCCCAACCTAGCTACAGCTACTGCCATGTTAGCTTTTTAATCTAGTGGAATTACTGACATGTTTTTGTGGTTAAGCTACTTTAAATCACATGTTTAAGTATACTAAATTATAAACTAATACAATTATAGTATGTTTAATAACAAATAGCAAATAAAGTAATTTATTTTGTATAAAATATGTGAGTCAGCAAACTTTAAACCTTTTTTGTGGATTTTTTCTGCTCTCTGTCTTTGAAGCAGTATTAGGTTTTGCTTTCTCCTACATTTTGGCCTTTGTAGCTCTGCTAGTGTTAGTCTCTCTGTAGAGAGTAGTGCGCTGAGGAATAAGAACATCTGCAGTGATTATAATTGCAATCAGGGTGACTAACAGATGGGTGTTTCCCCTCAGTAAAAGTTGATAAATGTAACCTTTCATACTAATTATAAACGTAGTAAGGCTTTCAGGTCAAACTCCATCTTGTTGTTCCAGGTGAGGTCAGCTCTGTCTGGTCTGGAGGAGCTGGACCTGTCCGACCTGCGCTACCTCTCCGACCTCACCTTCAACCGGCTCACCAGCTGTACCCCTGGCCTACGCCGCCTCTCGCTGGCCGGCTGCCATATCGCCTTTGAGTTCGACCCGTATCAAGGGTGCCCAGCAGGGGCTGTTAAGGATTCGTCAGCACTGCTGTCACTGAGGAACTTGAAGAGGTTGGTAACGGAGCAGAGATGGACTCTCGTAGCTTTGGACCTCAGCAGAACCTCCATCACACCCGATTCACTACGCACTGTTGCACAGGTGGGATTACCTCCAGGCCCTGCTGCAGCTTCTCTATTACTTGAGTGGTCCTTACATTCTTTGACGATAAAACGTTTTAACTGCTTCGCCTCATAGATAACACCTTTTTGTAAGAATTTTTTAACACTTTATATTCCTTCTGTTTCAGGTTCCAGATTTGGTCTTAGAGGAACTGCGTCTGCACGGCTGTAAGGAGCTGACTGATTACTCAATGGAAGTTCTGGTGAAGCACCAGCCGAGCCTCCAGAGGCTGGACATCAGTGCCTGCACGGAGCTGACCAGCAGGTCTGTGGACGCCGTAGCTCAGGGCCTGAAGGCACTGACACAGCTCTCTCTGTCCCGCGACTGGAGGATCACTGAAAAAGGTGCAAATTATGTATTTTTTACCAGGAATAAACTCACTAATAGTCAAGGAAGAAAATATTCTTACATATTAACAGAAAAATACAAATACGTTTACGTTCCTTTCTGTTAACAACAATTAAATTGATTTGTTATTTCAATGTAAAAATGTATGATAAGTATTTATAAGACTAAATAAGTCCGTATTTGCTGAGTTAGGTGTGAAAATATGGTTGCTCTTCAAACTGTTTTCCCCTCAGCTAAGCCTCCATGCACATCAACTACCCTAGAATTTCGTCTGTTGGAAAATCTTTTACAAAGAGATCATTTTGTGTCGGCACAGGCCTCGCTGAATTACTGTCAGTGTCCTCCCTGAGGAGTCTGGACCTGTCTGAGTGTCTGCACGTCAGCGGGACAGAGATAGTGAAAGGCCTGACAGGATGCACCACTGCCCGAGCACAGCTGGACACACTGAGCCTCAAGAGCTGCACCTACATACGGGTCAGTCAGTGGGCAGTGACAGTATGAGGCTGTATTTCTCTGTGTTTTAACATGTAAGTCTGTCATTTACAAATAATGTTGTCTCTGTTTCTGTCTTCAGGATTTTGCAGTTTTCTCTCTCACACAGCTTCTGGGGAATACCCTCCGTGAGCTGGACTTGACATTGTGTGTTAATGTGACTGACCTGTCTGTGCGAGCTATAGCCACTTACCTGCAGGGGCTGGTGGTTCTGCGGCTGGGCTTGTGTAAAGAAATCACAGATTGGGGTCTGCTGGGGATGGTGGAAGCAACCAAATGTGAGCCTGACCAGGAGACGGTAAGAACCACATGTTAGAAAATTGTGGGTTTATATACGGTTAGCTTCTCCAAAATGGGGGTGTCTCAATCATTAAATTACACTTTACATTTTCCAAACTATGCCTTTAATTGTTTTTTCTCAACAGGCAGACAAGGGTCCGAGATTCACCCGGACTTTCGGCAACATGGGTTTCTTCCAGCCTCCGCGTTTACCCTTTGAGGAGAAACCCAAGCTGGTGACACAGAATGACCTGCAGCAGTTCAAGCAGCAAGCTGGAGCGTCTCTGTTAGCTCTGAACAGGTTGCAGGAGCTGGACCTCTCCGCCTGCCCCAAGCTCACCGACAGCAGCATCACCCAGGTGGGGGGCGGAGGAGAGCCAAATGTTTTAGTTTGGTGCAGGAATGCAGGAGATAATACTGTCTCTCCTCTCCTCAGGTGCTACGTTACCCAGACCTACGTCGCCTGTCGCTCTCCATGCTGCCGGAGATCACGGACGCCAGCTTGGCCTCGGTGGCCTGGCACTGTCGCAACCTCACCAGCCTGGCCCTGAGCCACTGCCCTGGCATCAGCGACCGCGGAGTGGCTCAAGCTGCACCGTACCTCCACCGGCTGCAGCACCTCTACCTCTCCGGCTGCAGCAACATCACTGACAGGTGAGCGGCACCAATCTCTATGTGTGTCTGTTTCCCCTTAAATAATGGGACAGTCCAATTGCAATACCAATGATGTGCAATATGTGCAATATATATACATATGCCGTTAATAACTGTGCAATATGTACCTGACTGGTATATCTCAGAACTAATACTGGATGTGTACTTTGCAAATTGTGTAATCTTTATTTTGTATCTTTAATATTTTTTAATGCATGCTCCTTGGATAATATTAAGCTTCTTTTGGCTCTTTTCTTGATGCAAATGTCCCCTCTGTGGGACGATTAAAGGTATTCTGATTCTCCATCCATCCATCCATCTTCTCCCGCTTATCCGTGGTCGGGTCGCGGAGGTAGCAGTTCCAGTATTCTGATTCTCATTCCATCCTCATGTTGAAAACAGATATTTTTCCTTTTACCTGTAGTTCTGTTTATCAAATGATATACGTATGTATTCTAGGTTTCAGAGTGTTCTGGGTGCATCTACTCACATGTCAATGTTGTCTTCTTCAGCTGAGCTTTAACGTTAGCTGTCTAAATAGATGCACGCTTCCTGATGGTGATACAGTTTGGTTAGTAGAGAGAAAATAGTTCCTAAATGAAACTGCTCACAACAACGTATGTGGGTTATTTTGAGTAACCGGGTCATGGTTTCTGAAAAAAACACCCCAAAACGTTTTGGAGCTTTGAGAACCACACGCAAGGGCCATCTAGTTCCATTATATTGAAGAGAAGTTAGACAAACATCCGATGTCTCTATCTAGATTGATAAACCAGGCTTTGGTGAAGATATGAAGTTTGTATTTTGAAGGATTGCTTCCTGATCTCTTGACCTTTGCTCCTGCAGGTCTCTGTTCCTCCTGCTGCAGCACTGTGACCGTCTGCAAACACTCGACATCTCAAGGTGCAAAAACATCTCCCCAACAACGGTGGACCTCCTTCAATCCAGGCTGCCCTTCTTGGAGAATGTCCACCACAAATTCATAGGTGGGGCTGATATATCCCTTACATTCTGACTGACTGAATGTCCTGGAAGACCACTTGTCTTTTTTCAGAGACAAAAACTTGCTGACCAAAGACTGCTCCAGGAGTTTTGCACATTTGAGAAATTTGCACAAGAGCTGAAGGAAAGAGGTGTGTGTGTGTGTGTGTGTGTGTGTGTGTGTGTGTGTGTGTGTGTGTGTGTTCAGTGTGAGAGAGGTACCTCTAATGTGGAAATACTAACATTTGTTGCTCTGCGTGGCGTCAAAAAGAACTAGACACGGTGGAGAAAACTGACTGAAAACATACTTCCCTCTACATGGATCTGTTAAAACCAAGAGAAACCCTGTAGACTGAGACGCAGCTGCCACAGTTTGAAGGAAATATGCTCACAATAAATCATATTTTGCTTTTTGTTTTAATTGTCTTGCAGAAACAAGGTCCTGTTATCGTAAAAAGTAACTCAGAAAGACTTGCATAGCTGAAGGTAAGGTAGGAACAAATATATAAAAGCTATCCCATAAGAAATCATTTTGTTGAGATTTAAAGCACATTTTTTATATAAAAATGTAATTATATATTTCATATTTTAAATTCTTACACTTTACATTGCTCCTTTTGCTTAACATGAGCACATTTATGTTGTTTTGAGCAGCTGAAGAAGGTATTTTTAAAGCTCACACTGTAAGGTGTTTTTCATTTTCTTGATAATTTATTTATAACAAAACAAGAGAATAATTCTTTCTTAAAATAACGTATCTGTGTTGCTAAAGTAGGAGGAAAGATTGATATGAAGTTAAATAGGTGTCCTTAAATATTTTCAACTTTTAGACCAGAATTAAGGCCAATAACTTATTTAGCATGGTCTCTTCTGAAATGGCTTTCCTTAAAGGTCCCATGTCATGGTCATTTCTACTGATCATAATTCCATTGTTGAGGTCTACTAGAATAGATTTACGTTGTTCAATGTCCCAAACTCACATTGGTTTCTCATACAGCATCTCTGTATAGTATGTGTATTCACTCTCTGTCCTAAACGGCTTGTTGGAGGTGTGTGTGTGTGTGTGTGTGTGTGTGTGTGTGTGTGTGTGTGTGTGTGTGTGTGTGTGTGTGTGTGTGTGTGTGTGTGTCTCCACGGATTGGGTGTGGTCACGTCACTATACTCAGGAAGCAAACAATGGAAAAAGAGAAATCTCCAACGAGGCGTTCTGGGGCAGCACAGACAGAGTTTTACTCCCTACAGGGTGTACTTTGAGGGTTTTGACTCTGCAGACCGTTTACATGCATAAAAAGCAACATAACACACAAGGGGACGGGTAATAACCGGAAAAGCATGACATGGGACCTTTAACATGTCAGCAGTGCTTACAGCCTCCATATAAAATAAAGTTAAATGTATTAAGGTTACTCTGACAACTGCCCGTTTATTTGAGGTAATAAGTATGAAGTCTTTATTATTTTCTAATGAAAATCTGGACATGACCTGTGATAACTGGATACTAAAAGCTTACCAGCAGTTCATTCCTTTATAGTGTGCTATGTTGAATAATGTTGTACTGTTGTAACACTGTCTGCTGCACTATGCCCGAGGAGGAATTATAGACTGTAAAGATGAGAAATAAACATTTTTTAAATAAACTATCAGCATAGTAGTCAACTGTTGGCTATTATGCGATGACTAAAACACAAACACATGCTTGTTTTATTTTCATAAATCAAACTGTTTATTCCAAAGTGTGTGATTCAAAGTGGATATTTGTTACAGAGTGCCAGTTTGCACTGCAGAGGAAAAGTGATGGTGCGAAACAAACAAACCTGTGTCAGTTATTGAGAAGCCACTGAGTGTTGCTGAGTCAGAGTGCAGCACATTGTGATAGGCATGTCGCCTCCATCATATTAGTACCTTTTATAAAATCTTTCCATTTCAGGATCTGATCCAACATTTAAAAAAAATCCTACACAGGAACACTTATTGCATTCTGTATCATACAGATATAGTTTGATAAGCTTTGTGTCTCTCTTTGTAAAACTTGATATGTTAAGTCAGCATGGTACCTAATGCAGATCTGCATCACTATAACACATCTAATAAAAGTCGTACAGATCATCTCGGATCCACAGCTTCTGGGATCCGTACCAAAACCCATTTAACCAACACATTGTCCCACACCTACACATACTGTACTTGTCTTTCTTATGTTGGAAATGAGTGTAATGTATACCACATCGTGAAAAAGCACTGTCCAAATTCATGCTCATTCAAAAACATAAAAACATGAGCACAGCCAGCATTTAGAGACACAGCGTCTATCGTCTCGACCAATAAAAACCACCCTCGCACACAGGAGCATTCCATGTACCATACATCGTTTAAGATATATTTAGAGATATAAAATGATAACAAAACTAAATCATAGTACCATTAATTGAGTGGCTGAAGAAGAAGGATTTCATTTTTCTGAGGAAATATGTTGAATTAATGCAAATACAGTCAATAGGCAAAAGGTAGCAGTTTCCACAGGTTTTCTTCACTTGGATGCAGAAGACCACATAAACCTAATGTTATAAATCTGTGTAATAGGAATAAGTGCACGGATGCACAGGTCAGTTCTCACCAAACACACACTTCTTATTTCAGACACACACACACATATACAGTATATATATATTTACACATTCACACATCCTGCTCTACTGCTCCGTCTGGCTGAAGTCGTAGCAGAAGTTGTAGTTGCTGGGCGGTTTGGGGATGACGGGCGCACAGTCGGGGATGGGAACGTTCTCCAGGTCCAGGAGGCGGAGCTTGATCTCCATGGAGAGCAGGATCTCCAGCTCGCTGCGCGTGGACTCGCTGCTCATCTCCCGGCCCAGGAGCACGCTCAGCCCATCTGTCCACAGGCAGAACTGAGAGGACGCCAGGGAGGTTTAATATCACTGTCGTCATGCACACAGAAACATTTAACTGTGATAAAGAGGAAGATACTCCACAACACTCACATCAGTTCTGGAGGGGGCGATGAAGTTAAGGCTGTCCTCTTCTACATCATATGTGAGGCTAAAGGCCAGGTCCAGCACCTCCTGCAGCGAGGGACACAAAGGGTGTTAATAGATTCAAGATTCAAAGTTTTTATTGGCATATGCTCATAGCTACAGCATAGAAATGGCAATGAAATGGTTCTGACCTGAGCTCCTCCAACAATGCAACATATGTAATAAAATACAAAAATACAAAATGTGCTAAAGTCTATATACACGTAAATTAAATATGATATGTACAAGAACAGAATATGAAATTAAATAATGTGCATTAACACAATTAAATACGTTTATATCAAGTTAAATAATGTTTAACAAATCAGTTAAATTAAACTCATAAAATGAATTAGAATGGTGATTTGATAATTGTATTACTGCGCTCTTTGAGCAATGGAAAAAGAGAAATCTCCAACGAGGCGTTCTGGGGCAGCATAGACAGGTATTTTCTGTGTTAGAGTTTTACTCCCTACAGGGTGTACTTTGAGGGTTTGTGACTCTGCAGACCGTTTACATGCATAAAAAGCAACATAACACACAAGGGGACGGGTAATAACCAGAAAAGCATGAAAAACATTTCCGTCAGATAAGAATTTCCAAAGAATAGTCCTAAAGATGAGGGGATCACTCTGCATCGATGATATACAGTACATCATACTGAGAGGAGGAGTGCTGCCCACCTTGTTCTGTTTGCTTTTGTTCTCCTTCATGTGAGGACAGTCTTTTCCCGTCAGCAAGCCTTTGATATCTGCCACTGGAACTGAAGGGAACAAATGGAAAGGGATGTGATGTGTGATTTGTCTTGATACAGAACATATGTGAATCTTAACATCTGCAACACCCCAGTCCAGCTTCAACTCACTCTTCTCTTGCAGTGTTTCTATTGGTGGATTGTCCGTGTCCTCCTCCACATCCCCGTAGTGAAGCATTTTGTGATTGGGCGACAAGCGGCAGTACCACAGTTTATCTGAGGAAAAAGCAAACAGTCTAAGAGGTTAGAAGAAAAATACACACTGTACGCTGTTTGTAAGGGTGAGTGTGTGTGTGTGTGTGTGTGTGTGTGTGTGTCCTCTCACCCTGCCTGCGTCGGTTGCTGATCTTCCTGAACATGGTTCCTTGACACAGCCTGTTGAGTCTCTGCTGGCGGATCAGCTCCAGCAGCTCCGGCTTCAGGCGCTCTTTGAGCTCCCTGGATATTATTATATCACACACACACACACACACACACACACACACACACACACACACACACACACACACACACACACACACACACACACACACACACACACACCATCACATGGTGTTACATTAGAGATGGCAGAATATATACAGTATATATATATATCATTTTTAATCGCAGATTGTTACAAAAAAAAACTCACAATACGTTTATTATGGTAAATAGAAGGTTGGCGTTATGATGTATGATAACCTAATCTCAGGTTGTTTTTTTACTAAAGAAAGATCGGTCATATCTTAGATGCAATACAAATATGTCTTTCTTAATAAAATCTAAGGTTCCCTGAATACCTGTATACCAAACGGATTATATTTGGCTATTTCAATAGTTTAAAGCATATTTTGATGATAATCGGGATATAATTGTGAATCCCAATTATTTTAGCCCTGACTTGAAAGGTCCCTTTCTCCCATGCCTAGTTAGCATTCACAACCTAACCAAAGGAAACCCAATCCAGACACATAACATAAAAAATAAAACACATCGCCAGAAAAGACATTTGTCTTCATTGTTAATTGATTAGGAAAGCCTAAGGGGATTTAAAGCATGGACAATAACTTCTGCCCCCCACATTCAGTGTGACAGCATCACTCTGCTACACGCAGTGTTTAGTGACAAACAGCAGCTTCCATAGGGGTGGAAACTCCCTGCAGTCATCAGCAGAGCAGCTGAGCTGGTTCCGACACTGTGTGGCTGGACTTTTCTACATATTAACAATCAATCTAAATCAGGATCTGAACCCTTTTTTTAATGTTTGGAAAACCAATAGCTGCTGGATCTCCGGCCAAGCTTTTGGAACAGAGAATCCAAATATTGTGCCAACATGGGAATTGTTTCTAATGTTTAAAGATCCTGCTACTCACAGTACGGGGGGAGCGAGGGTCTCCTCTTGGTGCAGCCGCTCCGTCTGCCGCAGTTTGAGGATCTCGCTGTAGTTCAGGGCATTGACTTTGTTCTTGAAGAGCTCCAGGGAGGTGGGCTTACTGGAGAGGGTCCTGGTGATCTGCTCCCTCACCACCTGCATCACCTGGGGACAGAGAGAGATGATACACACTTACTGTTTCATGTAGGAACACCTGCGGACTGCCTCCAGTTTGTCTGGCAGGGATGAGCGATAAGGACGTGTTAAGTTGAGATGTGTTGAATTGTATTTATATTTGGGCTGTAACCCCAGCTTCTCTTTCCTACTAACATGTCTCCTGGATTCAGAGATGCTTTTGGGTTTTAGTGCCATTCAGAAGAGAGATTCAGTGAGATTGACATAACTTGTACACATCATCCAACGACAGCAGCAGAGAAGAACAATGTCAAAATGAAGACATCCTTTAGACAATGATAAATATAACATGTAACATAAAACATTTTGGCCCAGTGAAACGTAAAATGATTATCCTAAATGTTATATTTTATTAGAGGGGAACAGATGGAAGGTCCCAGCCACAAATAAAATACGTTTGTTCTACTATCCTGATCTGAATGACATTCATGGTCAAAGAATTTGATTCATGTTTTAAAAAAAAACATTTTAACAGATTCATTTAACCCTGCTTCCCAAATCTTTTTCTTTCTTTTAAAAGATACATTTAAGATATTTTATTACCTATCAAAGTCTTACTTTTAGAGGAATAGAATACATTCCTGACACAATTACCCTTTGGGTTGTCAATACAAAAGACCCTAACCAATGGCCTTTTAAAATGTTAATGACTTATTCAAACCCCTTTCCTAATGGAAAAGAATCCATTCAAATAGTTTCCCTCCTAAATCCTTCACCAGTTGAAGGTTAAAGATTCACACTGTCCAACCACCTATTGAGTACCCTCCTCTCTCAGGGGCCAGCCATTGATCAGCACGCTCTTTATTAACCGAATTATCTGCCACACCCCCCCAACACATTCACCCAACAACGTTTAATTAGAACAATCAATAACTGGGATGTTATTTCCCTGGGGTTCATATATAATAATAGAATTCAAACAATCGAACATATATTTAGTTTGAAAACAATTTGTACCCACAGACTGAAAGGCTCTAGCACTGACTCAGCGTTTGCCATTCCCGTGTGTGTGTGTGTGTGTGTGTGTGTGTGTGTGTGTGTGTGTGTGTGTGTGTGTGTATTCTGCATGACTTGTTAAACTGAAGCTCACTCAGAGAGACAGGGGGAGACCCCGAGGGCCGATACCCTGAGATAAGAGCTGAGGGCAGTTGGTCAAAATCTGCACATGTGTAAAATCAATAACTGCCTTCAGTATACGTGCCTCAGCTGTAAATAGTGCAACATCTATCAAAAATCTATAAAGCTAGAAGCCTGTTTCAGCTGTATTCGTCCTGCTTTCATTTTCTCTCTCTCACACTCTGCTGACCTACATCATTCCTGCTCACACCCCATTTGACTGATTGGGAGCAATCGGTGAGGAAAGAGTAATTTGACCTATTTTTAGCACAGCTCCGTCGAGACCGCTCTGAAAATGTTCCATTATATAAAAAACTGAAATGTCATGACAGTCTGTTGGTGCCATGGAGAGTCTTTCCGTCTGGCAGCAGTGGGAGTACAGATGGTGGAATCTCACATTGTATTGTGTGAACACGCGACTACAGTCTCTCCCTGCTGAAGCCCCCCCGAGCCAGAGTAACCTCACTGACATGACACCAGCCAGCCACTTCACACTGTTGTGTCATGTTGACTCTTATGCTACAAATCAATTCCGTTGTGAAGACACATATTTCTAACAGTTTAGCTTTAAGTATGGATACAAATTGCCCTTAACTCTGCACCTGGAACATTTGATATCGACTGCCGAATAACAAACAACAAACTGCTTGACATGCATACTGACTAAGAAACAAAACCAAAAACAACCTTACCTCCATTTTCCTTGCAGCAGTACTACTATGAGGTGAGCCCTTCGTCAACAATGGGAGGAGAGTGACGTGGACGACCCGCAGTGAAAGTGAGAGGCAGCGATCACTGCATGACAGGAGAGTGCAGGCCTGTGGCTGTTTTGTAAACAGACCCTCAGATACTCTCACACACACGCTGGTCCGGCCCCTCTGTCATTTAGCTGAAGTGGCCAATGGGAGCGAAGGTGGCAGCTGTTCCCTAACACCCTGCAGCATGTGATAAATGTGTGTGTGTGTGGAGGGATACCGTTATGACAGAGGGTGTTTAGAGCAACCTGAAACACTTACACTTCTAATTCATTCTCTAAGTAAGAAATCCTAACATGATTTTTGTTTTCCCACCATCTTCCCCTCTCTTGTCTCCCCTGCTCCCCCTCATATTGTTTCCAGAGGTTTCCCCTCTGTCGTTGTGTAATTACTCCCCATTCCCGAGCGCTTTGTTTTCCCTGTTTCCTTCTCCCTCTGTTTCTGCCGCCCACCACCCTTCTCTTTGTCCACCTCATGCCCCTTTGTGCTTGCCCCAAAGCACCCTGGGTAGGGGTCCATGGTCCGAAACAAAAGCCTGGTCTGCCTGCCTGGCGCTCGGGACACTGGCCCGCTCCCGAGGGGTGAAAGGTCACCGAGTTTTATGACTACCGGGAGAGGGGCGTTGTTGGTTGTGTGTGATGGTTGGGACAAAAGCGAGGCCACTCTCCTTTTCAGTACCCTCCATATTTCTCCCAGACAAGACCCTGCTGCTGAAAGCTGGGCTCAGCCCATTACTCTATCATTACACTGAGGCTGGGGGCTCCATGTGTGTTCCTCATGCAGGATCACCTCTCCATGAGGGGCAGCTCTGGGACGGTTAGCATGAGAATAAAGCTATTCAAAGTCACAAACTTACACAAATCCACCATAAAACAACTCTTTAAAGGCTCTCGTAAAAGAGTGATGTTAAACTGGGAGTCTGGAGGATCTTGCCCTTTTGTTCAATGACTTTGAAACCTTCATGTCGTTTATTAACATAACTCACGGTGGGCTTGATTCATCTTGGTAAACCCAACATATTATTATTCACTTGAATTTGATATAAAACAGAAAAGCCAGAAATCTCTGTATTCATATATTATCTAAATAGTTTTGATCACAGCTCTGATGTAATATAAGTGAAATTAAAGTTAGAGCTGCTGAGCTGTATCATGATTCATGACGCTACAGTGCAAGACAACAATCCACACACCAAGGGTTTATTTAGCAGATCTCATCATTAAAGAAGTGTATCTGTGATATGGCCTGGTCAACATAATGTCCCGGGAGCTGTTTGCAAGACCTGCTGGGGTCTGGGGTCTGAATACCCCTAGTCCTCTCTGTACACACAAGAACAGTCGGAGCAGCTTTAAGCCATGCTGGAGCTGCGATTCCAGCGACTGTATCAGGGGACTATGTTGCTGCATAACGTATGTTTAGAAAAGCACAGACAAATTGAGTTATCTGCCTTTGACTTCAGCATTCCTCCTTCCTCCTGTCTTTATTGGATTTTCTGAGTGGAAATGAAGACAAACATGCCAACAGTACAACTAGGATAAGGTCTACCCTTTCAGAGCATTTACAGCATGTACGAAGATCTGCCTCAAACTGTACATTTGTTGTACTATCATGTTTATATGTAGGGGTTACGGTCGAGTAGCACAACTCTGGATCAGATACCTATCATACCTCATTATGAACTGGAAGTATTGAGACAGACTAAGGCACCCCTCGTGTTTGTATATGGAAATGTGCAGCTTTACTTGCAGTTGGCTAGCTTAGCTTAGCGCTAAGACTGTAAACGAGGAGTGGGTATATTTTGATATTTTCATCCATCGCTGGACATATTTCCTGAAAAATTAAACTCTTCTTTTAAAGTGAATATACAGCCTGATAAGTTTGAAGCTAGCCTACCTTGTCGAAGTCCTCCTGTGTGGCTCTCATCTCCTTCCAGGTCTTGTTGAGCAGCTGAATGCAGACGCAGAAAAGCTCCTCCATCAGCCGATCCTGACTGAAGAAGATGGGGTGGTAGTCAGATCTCGTCTCTGATGCTGTTAACAGAGGAGGGAATAGAAAAGATGGAAAGGAAAAGCAAAACAAATGGAGATGATCAGTTGCAGAGTGCGTTTTACCAGAGGTTCAACATGGTTCTTATGCCGCAGGTTGGAGGTGAACTCACGGGGTTCTCCGATGCGAAGGATTTCACACAGGATGAGTGTGAGCTGGATGCTGCTCCTGGCAAACGGACACTCGTGTTTGTCTTCCCTGCTGCTGTTCTCCAGGACAAACTGGGGGAAGGACACAATGGACATTCAGCTGGACAGGAAGTGACGCCTCTGTCATAGAGCTTACACAGACAACAAGAACATGACAGTATTGACTTTTTCAACTGTTATAAAGCACTTGCACTTTTATCCTGTGTTAGACAACCAAAACATGTATGAGATATTAAGATCAGGTCATCAAAATGGGATTTTCTTTATCATTTCTAATATGAAACGGCTCAGGTTAATGACATACTTGAGGACAATGCTAGCTACAACATTGCAAAAGTCTGAAAATGTGTTGAAAAATATTGAACAGAGCCATAAACTCTTTATATGGTGGAATACAAGCAGATCCATCCTGCTCACCCTGCTGTAGGCGTCAGGGTAGCGTGAGGCAAAGTAAAACATGGTGTCCAGAGCCAGAAGACCAGGAGGCGTTCGCACCAAGTCCTGCCCGGGGTTACTATTGTTCTGAAGGGATCAAAGAGAATATTAATCGCAGAAGGGAACAGAAACATCAGGGAAAGACTTCTGACAGCGGCCACCTACAGAGAAGCCTAACTTCTTGAACTCTTTGGCGCAGAGCGAGCGGCGCCTCTCGTTGTTCAGACTGTTCTCGCTTTCCGTCTCAAACGCAGTCTGCCGCAAACCGTGAAGGACGTCTCTCTGCTCCTGCAGGACGGAGGCAGAAGAAAGATAGATGTTTAGTGTTAACAGGTGTTTTCATACTTTGGTCATTTATTAAGATGAAAGATAAAAACATTTGCTCAGAAAAAAACAACAAACTGGCTTTACACCAAGGAACAGCTGAGCACAACAAAATCTGTGATCAGTGAGAAGTTATTGTGTTTTAGATATGTACAATTTAAAAGTAGAGTTGTTTTGAAGTTGAGTTTTATGAGGTACTTATCATATTAATGTATCTTCTTCAGTAAATGGTGATGGGCACATCTCTAGTTTGGATAAGCTAACCAAAAGAACGCAGTATAGTGGTTTGAACAGAGAATATATAATGACTTCAGTTTCCTGTCAGAATGGGCTGTCAAACCGCAAGCTAAAGTGTGATCTAAATAGAGCACTCACTTAAACCGATATTGATCTTTTAGGTGCGCCTCATTACGTTTAAGTTCTATGCTTTGCAGCTGTCCCCCTTCACAGCAGTTCATTGCTTTGTGCTCCTGTCTGTTTCTTCAGACTGGGAGCGTATTGACCTCCATCCACAGTAGGACATACATTGACTATGGATCAGCGTAAGGAAACGTTTTTAGAGAGTACTTGTCCACGGACAAGTGAGTTTGGCAATTGGCTTGTCCGAATACATTTTTCACTGAAAGATTAGGGCCACTGGAATATTCTTCTTCGCCATCGTATTTTACATTTTCCCACGGTTTTACGACAGCGCTAACGTAAGTGAGTAAGTAAGATTTTACTGCATCACACATTCTTATTATTATACATCCATGGTTGGGTATCGTTTGGATTTTAATGATTCCGGTTATGCTTTTCGATTTCGGTTCTTGATTCCGGTTCTTTGAGAAGGTAAAAATAAGTCCCATGCCAATTTCACTGGGAGAAAAATATATATATGAAAACATTAAGTCAAATCTGTATTCCTATTTACAAATCACTTCATACTGTTTCATTTTCTTACGGTTATTGAATAACATTATATAAAAATAATCTCTGCATTGTTTAGTTAGTTATAAGTGGTGCAGTTTGAGAATGTACAGTTGGCCCAGTCTCCTCTGATGTTACACTGCAACCTGCCTGTGAGACAGAGTCCAACCACACAGTCTGTTGAACACATGTCATGCAATACACATGCTGCAGCTGCCCGGCTGCCCACTGTTTGTAAAAGTAAATAAATAGTAGTTTCATTTCAATAATGTACTTTCTATACCCTGCTTCATAAACAATACTGACATCCCTGGCGGTCAATATTAACAACATAGGAGCTAAAACGAGAAAGAGAGAGAGAAAGAGAGAGAGGGAGAGACGCTGAGCTGCACCGATCAGCTGATCCGGAGCATAGAGAGAGAGAGCTGCGGCCCGCGGAGACACGGACAATTTGCGAATGAGTTCTGCCTTTTGTAAGCTGAATTTATCAATAATTTGTCAATAAATATGGGCGCAAAACGTCACTTGTCCATCGGACAAGTCAATGGAATGTACTTGTCCGATATTGTAAATAACACGTCCCGGACGATCGGACGTGTGCCTTGTGTGTTGTAGCTCACCTGGTTGTAGCTGTCCAGAGGCGTCCTCATGCGAGGCTCCAGGTGGTTCAAGGTAACGGACTGTAGGACATAGAGGTAGTGGGCCATCTTGTCCTGGACCGACCCAGAACTGTGGATGATATTCTGCAACAAATAACAAAACATTGTTGCTTTATTTCCATTCCTCTGCACAATTATGAGATCATTTTATCACTGGGACACAGAAAACAATATGAAATGTCAAGAGTGAGATGATTTACTTTATAAATGTACTGTCGGAGATTCTTCTTATTCAGGAACGCAAACATATCCTGCAAAACAGAAAAATGTGTTACTGTGGTGCAATAACATGTTTCCAACATGTGGAGGCGACAGAGAGTCAGTTACAGATCAGTGGGCGGGACATTGATATTAGTGAGGGTAAAGACTTTGACCTTTATGACACAATCATCACTTGCTGGTACATGCATCTCTAGCCCAGCCTAGTTTGGTTCAGGGATGCATTTGCTGATAAGAAGGGTGGATTTGTTGACTTACTGTAAAAGTGAGGAAGTGAGTGTGTGTGTGAGTAACAAAGAGAGTCTGAGAGAAAGGGAGACAGGGGCTGAATGAGGGAACTGTTCCCGTACAATGAGAGAGGAACAGAGGGAGAGAAAGGCTGGACTGTGATGAGCGGGCAGAACGAGATAAATGGCTAATTTCCAGACTGTCTGTAAGAAACTGCGCGTGCACAGTAATGGCCTGATGACGCAAATAAACACCCTTCACTCCCGGTCACATGCATGCCCATAAGCCTGGGATATTGAAGCTTAGAATTGTAAAACATTGAGATGATTTATTAGGAAATACAACAGCTTAGTTAAAGTATGCACAGTGCATAGCGATTAACAGCTGCAGGCTACACTATCTGGAAGGAAGGCCCTGAAACTAACTGAATACCAACTTGTGTGCATGCCTGAAAGTTGAATGAGAAGAGGAAGTGATTGAAACATTAGAGATTAAGAGACACACTGCAGCAGCACCTGTCTGTCCGAATCTCCGGCAGTTTGGAGTAGTGCCATAAGTAGAGCCATGGCTTTGGTCTGTATCTGCGGATTGGTCCTGGAATCAATCAGAGAGGACACAGGAAGTGAGACAAGCACATCATTTCAATGTTCTACTACGGCTTCATAAAGAGGCTTTTAGGAGTGGAAGATTCAATTCTGTGAACTGACAACTGTGAAATGTTGGTGTAATAAATGGTAGAGACAGTGGAATTCTCAGCATTAGTCTTTTTACATATTTAAAAACTTCCTGTTTCAGAGACAATGCTGACACTTATCACCACCCCACCCTACCCCCCCCCCACAGATGTGTCACTTTCAGAGTTAGTTTTCTCTTTCGTTTTACAGCACATCCTGAACACTGTGGGGGATTTGTTTATGTCATCAGTCTTTATTTTCTTCCACTATCTGCCACTGAGGAACCTCTGAAAGTGGTTTGGATTAGATTAGATTTGCTTTGCTCTGGATGAACAAGGTGGTCTCTGTGCAATAAAGCAATACAGACAATATTTTGTTAAATGCATTGTTACATGTTAGTTTCTAAAACAGGTCTGTTCGAGTAAGAGAGGGAAAAGTCGGGATAGGAAGTACTTTGACCCCTGGCCGTATTTTGCATTGTAGCCGGTGGGATTTAGTAACACCAATGACATTTCTGGTCAGTGTTAAAACTGGTGGAATAATCAAGGTTGAAACACAAAGAAAATCATATATCAGGCAGGTGTGGCAGCTCATTTATGATTGGCTTCTAAGAGTCAGTCCATATCTATCAGTTACTTACACCTGGAGGTGAGCGATGAGCCGCTCCATGGTGACTTCCTGTTTGACCTGCAGGAAGAGGCTGTGGCTGCTCAGCACCATGCTCTCCAGGATGTCCAGGGACACCTGCTGCATCGATACGTCGGTCGACTTGGCGTTGACAAAGCTGGCAATCTGGAAGGAAAGGAAGGGACAGAAGGAAGAAGAGTAAGAGAGAGTGTGACCACAGTCAGAGAAAAAGACATCCGACAAAACAACAGAGAAAGACCGTACCTTCTTGATGAAGACACAGGAGAGGTTCTCCCATGAAACTATCCCATGATCCATCAGTTCCATGAAGCCTGTCAGAGTGTGGGTCATGATCGCGTTACTCCTGAATGACACACACACACATACAATGAAATGATAAGTACATTGAAGGACATTAATACAGGTATTTCTTTTACTTGCACATTTGCATTGACAAATAGCATTTGAACAGACTTTGCTCATGCTCAAAATAAACTAAATATTAGATTTTAAACAAAATTGGAAAAGAAAACATTTAAGAAATGTATCAACAAACTTTCAGCAGAAGATGTGTGGCCTTAAATACAAATATTCAGCAGTTTTTTTTTTTTT